TCATCCTAAAACTAGAGTAATTGTGAAAGTTACCAATCTGGTTTGTAGCTTGAAATTGAGGCAGTTACAAGGTGATTCTTGGCTCCAACTTGTGCATATTCGTTCAAGGATCAATGCTGAAGCTAATGGAAACCTTGATTTGCCTTGAATTGCTCTGGAATGGAAAACACGATTTGCACTTGAAGCTTGAAAACTCTAACTGCAATCTCTGGTTCTAGCTCCGAATAACCACCAAACTTGATCTGAATCTCATTGTGAACTTAAATAGAAGCTGATTGAATGATTTGGAGGCCCAATTCAGGATATCCAACTTTCAAATTTTCCTTCAAAATGCAACTATGGCCTGCACGGATTCTGGATGTTTCAGCCTTCTAGAAGCTTCACCTGACCTACTTGTGGCTTGGCGAGAGTGTATGGACAACATTGAGTGCTTAATTCCATCCAAGGGTGGAGTTTTGATTTATAACTTCACCATGAAGTAACAATGTGAAACACCATGAAATAAGCCTCAAACTAATTTTTCAATGATGTCATTATGCTCAAAATGATATTTCCACTCAAAATATGCTCTCATTTGGTCTTGTTTGAACACATATGATTAAATTTGAATTTTTCAACTTAAATGCCTTTTAATTCCCCTTTTATCAAGCTTCCATGAACCAAGTCTTGTTCTAAGCCAAATCAATGCCTCATGGATACATGGTTGACCTTAAAATCCCATTTTGAGCAAGTTTTGTGTTGGACAAAAATTCATTTGAGGCTCCCAAGATAGTGAAAATGACCCATAGTCCAAAATGACCTATAATCTCACTTTCCCAAAATACCCCTGACTTGTAAACCTCATAACTTGAGTTCTACAAATCAGATGAAAGGCTTCTAGTACAATTTGGAAAGATAAGACCAAGACCTACAACTTTCATGTTGGTCAAAAGTTGAGGAGAAACATCCTTCTAGGTCAAAAGTTACTTGGAAGTTGGTTTACTTTTGCAGACAAATTTCACATTCATCTGATGACCTGTAACTTGCCTGGATCATAACTTGAGTTCTATAAATCCAATCAGGGACTTCTAGTACTCAAATTAAAGCTAAGAACATGCTCTACAAGTTCCATGTTGGAAAAAAGTTAAGATGAAACTTGTATCTTGAGATAAGTGGTCTTGAAGTCAGGAACTAAATAGGGGATTTTACCCTGAGAACCCTAGTTTAGCAACTCCTCACACTTTGAATTCTTCTTGAATTGATCTGGGAATAACACCTCATGCATCTCAAAACAACCTTCCATGATCACAAAGACTTAGAATTGAGTCTCAACCTCCTTCAATTGCATAGTTGATTCAAGGTTGACCAGATGAAAACCCTAATTGCAACACCTTCAACTGTGACTTTCCACACTTGGCATAAACACTTGAATGAACTCTAACATGACCCTCAAGGCCTCCAATGAGCTCTATCCATATACCCTATCCATGATCAAGGCTTCACAACCCACTGATAGTCTTCAATTGACCCCCAAGTTAGGAGATGAACCACATACCAACATCCAAACTTCTCAAGAACACAACCCACTTTCTGATGACTTTGGTGACCTCTCAAGCTTGAATAAGACCTCTAGATAGGCTCTTCCTGATATAAACCACACTTGATCCCCTGCTAAATGAATAATGCTATGTTATGCAAATGTTAGACCAATGATATGTTAATGCAATGAAACATAAACCAAGTAAGAAAAATGTTGGGCAAATTTTGGGGTGCAACAATTACTAGTGCTTCGACTTCCTTATAGCTTTCCTCACTCAATACAACTACAACTTGAACACAACCTTCATTGACCTTTCTTTCAGGAAAACCCATTTTAAAGTGACCGATTTTCTGACAATTAAAACATTTTACCTTTGACTTGTCAAACCTCTTTGATTTGGACACCCCTTTACGCTCACTTCCTCCTCTTGACACATTTAAGCCTTCACCACTATCTTCAATCTTCAAATCTGTCGACTTTGAAAATTCTTTGGATTTCACCGCCGTTTGGACTTCATCCAAAGTAATAGTACTTTTCATACCATAAAGAAGGACATCCTTAAGTTGCTCAAAGAATTTGGATAATAAACTCAATAGGAGCAAATCCTTGTCCTCATCATCAATCTTCACTTCAATATTCTCAAGATCATTGATAATCTTGTGAAATTTTGTGAGCTGTTCAACTATGGATTTGTTCTCCACCATTCGGAATGAATAGAGTTGTTATTTCAGATAAAACTTGTGAGCCAAAGACTTTGTCATATACAATGATTCAAGTTTTATCCATATAGCAACTGCAGTTTACTCCCTAGCAACTTCTCTTAGAACTTTATCCCCGAGGCACAAGACAACGACTCTCCTTGCCTTATCCACCATCTCGATCTTCTGTACCTGTGTAACCCCTGCAGGCATCAATGCTTCACTCTTCAAAGCATCAATACACTTCTCTTGAATTAAAATTATTTGCATCTTAATTTTCCACAACTCGAAGTCGTTGTTACTGGAAAATTTCTCGATCTGCCATCTACTAACCATGGTACTCACTTGTCAACAATATCTTTTTGCTCCATGCTTACTACACCACTTGTTGTGAATTATGACAAAATTCAATATCAATGTGTGAGACAAAGAATAATAACAACCAAAATAAATGGTCTTCGGCAATAATAATCCGTACATAGATAATATAACAGAAAAAAGCAAGAAAAAACCGAAGGTTTATTTACCCAGTTCGATCAAACGATCTACTCTGGGGGAGAGAACAACTCTCTAATTCACTATACTCAGAAAGTTGTTACAAGAGATTACATATGAGTTACAAGTAAATAACCTTCGCCTTCAGGTTCCCAAGAACAACCATGAAGGCGTCCAAAAACAACTCTATTTTTTACCCAAGTGTTTCCCTATCTCTCCAACTCTCAATATATGAATCACTCAAACCCAAGGTGTAATCCAAGGTTTTCTTTGTGCATAGCTGAAACCCTATGTTATACCTTTAAACCATTGCTCTCCCTTGTTGGTGTAAACTCTAAGATTGTCACACACCAAACATATAAAAGATACATATTTATAATAGCAAATACCCAACAAATAAAACCCAAAATCACATGGATCCATGGGCCGAATCAAAAAAGCCCAAAAATGCGAAAACATTATTCACCGTACATACAACACTATTCACCGTAGGGACGTTACTATTCATCCGTACGGATATCACTATTCATCGTACTGGCGTCACTATTCACTCGTCGATTTTTTTTCCTTCTGACTTTTCGTTCGACTTTCTAAAACTTCTAATTTTCGCGGTAAATACAATCTCCAAAATATGTTTTGTTTCTCTTCATTAACAAAGGTTTTAAGGCACATTTACAACATATAAGACTAAATGAAGACATGTTATGTATTGAAGTTGATATAAGACTTTTGCTAGTGAGTTCATTGATAATGTTGTAAGGTAGAGTAAAAATCTTTAGTTGATAGATTAAGGTCATGAATGTGAACATAGTCAACACAGCAATAAAAGAACCAAGAAAGGCCAAATAGTTGTACCTAAAAAAAGAGGGGTATGAATTAAGCATCCAATCAAACCCTCTTTCAAGAGGTCCTTCGCTTTGACAATAGAGTTCTAGGCAGCCGAATCTGTGGTAGCATAAAGTGATAGAAAATAGGAATCCAACAAATATTTGTGGATAAGGAGATGTACATAAAGTTTATTAGGTATTTTGAAGCATATTATAAACCAATTTGCTAATAAGGGTTGTGTTGGCATCCCTAATTAATTGAATCCCCAAGCCACCCACTTTCTTTAAGCGAGTCATTTTTCCTAACTAAAACTACTTTGGTATGGTCCAATAAAAGTGTATAAGAGGAGTCATAATCGATTAACCAGAACTTTGATAATAATTCTGTACACTATGTTACACTATGTTACTTTAGGAATGAGGGCTATACGTGTTTCAAATATAGTTCGATCAAATTACCCATTAGAGAAAGTTGATTTGACCAAATTATATATATCGTCACTCACAATGTACCAATATTGTTTGAAGAAAATGCAATGGAATCCATTGGAACCAAAGGCTTTGAAAAACTTCATTGAATTTAAAGCGTAAATGACTTCATCTTTTGTGACCGGATTAATGAAAAGCCATGAGTAATCACTAGGATATTCTAATTAAATGCATTTGTCTCATGCATCATTTTATAATATAAATAAAGTATTTATGTTTATTTTTGTATTATATTTTTATTAATTATTATTCAATTTTTTTCAATTATTTTAATTTGGGTTAAATATATTTTTTTCCTATAAAATTACTAACTTTTATTTTTGTCCTTATAAAAAAATAATGTGTTTTGATCTCTACAAAATAATTATTATTTTGCACGTAATTTTAGTTTCTACTATTAAACTGATGTGTATTTTTAAATAATTATTTTGCAGAGATATATTTATAACGTTGTAAAAAATTTCTCGAAAAAAAAAGATTTATAAGTCGAAATTTGATTTATATCATTATCTTTTAAAATTTTAAAAATTCATATTTAATTCTTCTCATTTTAAAAAATTATATAATTTGATAAAAAAAATATTTTATAGTAATTTAAATATGTATGAAAAAAATTATTTAAAAATTTAAAAGTTTAGAAATAATTAAATAATTTTAAAATTTTTTAAAAATAACAAAGATTAAAATTGCATGCATAAAATTTTTGTAAAGACCTAAATATATATATATTTTTATAGGAATTAAAAATAAAATGTGAAATATTTATAGAGAAAAAAAAATATTTAACCCTTTTAACTTATACCATTAATATAATGTACTTTTGTATAGTTCCAATTCCTTTTCTATATAACATTAACTTCATTTTTAATCCACGTTAAATTGTTAAAATAAAATATAATTTTGTAATTAGATGTGTTAAAATAAAAATAAACAGTGTCCTGATGGCGGAGTTGTTTTTCCTTCTAGTGATTAATGGCTTCTTGTATTTTAACACTCAGATCTTCTTCTTCCAATTCATTTTCCCGCCTAAAACCGTTACTTCCACCACCGAACTTCAACTCCCGTTCATCCTCTTCTTCACCATTCATCAAATTCAAGAGCCATAACTTCGGCATCAACGTGTTGCAATCGGAGTTCAACCGTAGTTTCGTCACACAAGCAACCGGAGGGAATTTGAATTTGAGTTTCCCTCTGATTTCTCCTAACGACCAATGGGGAAACTGGACCGCTCTATTCGCTGCCGCAGCAATTGGAATCTGGTCAGAGAAAACGGAGATCGGGAAGACAGTGAGTGGAGCTATTGTGACGATTTTGGTGTGTCTTGCTGCTAGTAATTTGGGGATTCTTTCTGTTGATGCTCCTGCTTATGATTTGGTTTTGAAGTTTCTTCTTCCTCTCGCTATTCCCTTGCTTCTCTTTAGGGCGGATCTCCGCCGTGTCATCAGCTCCACCGGCGTACTTCTCTTGCCTTTCTTGCTTGGTTCAGGTAACTAACTCACTTCTCTATTCTTCTTTGCAATGATAGTGTAGAAGGTCCTTTTGATCAATAAAATATTAAAGTTATGTTTGGATTTGTGATGAGCTTGACCAGCTTAGTCAACATGTCTGCATCGAATCAAACACTACGTTATCTTCTTTACATCTCATGTGGATTGATCTTCTGGTGCAGTATACAAATGCTTTCAAATGCGAATGTTAATGTTCACATTCTAGTGACCTATTGAACTTAATTTTTTTAACCTACATTATCATAACAGTTGCAACTACAATAGGGACAGTAGTAGCATATCTACTTGTTCCAATGCGATCGCTTGGTTCGGATAGTTGGAAGATAGCAGCTGCTCTCATGGGCAGACATATTGGTGGAGGTAACTCTTATTTTATTAACTTGAGTTCATTAATCAACAAGGCCATCTTTAAGGGCGTGCAAGACGTCCTACCGCATACGACCTTAAATTTGTCACCATTAAACCATAATTAAATAGAGTTCATTAAATATTTGTTGCTGTTAACCATAGCTAAATAGGGTCTCTATTAGTTTTGCTGCAACTGACCTGTGGCTAACTTATGCAGGACCTTCAAAAAATTAAGTCGGTCTCTGTTAATCAATATTGCTGTAAGGAAACATTTGTATCTTAATTCAACTTAGACATGACTTAACTTAGATATTATTGTTTTCCATATTGTGCAGCCGTCAATTATGTTGCCATATCTGATGCTCTTGGTGTTCAACCCTCGGTTTTAGTTGCCGGCTTAGCTGCAGATAATGTTATTTGTGCACTGTATTTTTCAACATTGTTTGCGTTGGCCTCTAAAGTGCCTCCAGAGGCCTCAACATCAGAAAATGGTAGCCCAGATTTTATTTTGATTATAATATCACCATATGATTAGTTAGTTTACATTTCATTTGATTTGAAGTTAACTTGCTATTGTATTTTCATGGGCTTCTGTGCATCAGAGTTCACCTGACTGATTATTTTTTCTTGTCAGATGATGCAATGAATTCCATATCTGGGTCTGGTGACAAACTTCCGGTGCTACAAATGGCTACTTCTCTTGCCGTGTCTTTTGCCATCTGCAAGGTTGCCAATATTCTTACAGGGTATTTTGGAATCCAAGGGGGTACTCTGCCATTAGTAACAGCAATTGCTGTGATATCTGCAACTGTATTTCCCAAACCATTTGCTTCACTTTCATCCTCTGGTGAAGCTATGGCTGTGATTCTCATACAGGTTGGTTGTTATTCATCTTATGACTTTCTCACTTACTAAGTGCATGTTTGGATTGACAATGAGTTTGGTGAATTCAGTAGCACTGATTTTGTTAAGACTCTAATGCGTAGCTTTGATCCGAATTATGACAGTTTACTTTGATTTTGTCCAATTCACTGTCGATCCATACATGCACGAAGACAGTAAAAGAAAGAAAGTGATTGGTAGCTCCAATTTTTATAAAAAAAAAAAAAGTCTAACTACATGTTCATTGTCAATATCACCCCAAACTGACTGGTAAATGGTTTGTTATTTGTGAGGAATAGGTATTCTTTGGGGTGATAGGTGCAAGTGGGAGCATAAGGAGTGTGATGAACACAGCACCAAGTATATTTTTGTTTTCTTTTGTTCAAATAACAGTTCATCTTGCTTTGATACTTGGACTGGGTAGAGTTTTTCACTTTGACTTGAAGTTGTTGCTCATAGCATCAAATGCTAATGTTGGAGGCCCAACAACAGCATGTGGAATGGCAACTGCAAAAGGGTGGAAATCCCTCATTTTGCCTGGTATTCTTGCTGGTATATTTGGAATTGCCATTGCTACTTTTCTCGGCATTGGATTCGGTCTAAAAGTCTTGCAACACATGTAAAAAAATCCTATGATCTTTATATGCAAACAATCTATGTACTATAAGATCGGTTCCCATTTCTAGCTTTAGAAAAGCTTGAAGTGAAAACTATAAATTTTAAGCAAAAGTTATTAGTTGTAGCTAAAACAAAAGTTCTGATAGCCAAACTGATTTTTTTTATCTGCTATACGGATTGATTCCCAGATTAATAGTGGACTTGTATCGAATGGGAATTGTGTATCCCCTCCTCTTCATCGTTTATTTGTGTGTTTGGTGATGATTAATAATCTAAAGCTATTTTGTGAATGAGTAAGATCAATAAACACACAAATTTCCCTAAATAAAACCTGTATGGAAATATAACATGAGATGATTCATTCTATGCGCATTGGATGAGTTGGAAGAGAATTACTTCCACTCTTGTTGGCGAAGAACATTATTTCCACCCTGAGACAACTTGTGCAGACAAGGAGTCCATTTGGATTTAACTTACCCTTTATGCTTCCAAGTATATGAAGGCAGTGAACAACTCTTCAAACATTTCCCTATGACGATCTAGGTTTGCTTTGATTTGCTTCTTATTTATGCCTTTGTGCTCCTTCTATTTCTAACTTGAATTGTTGATTGAGTTAGTGGTGTATCTGCTAAATGTATTATGTGTAATTCAAGTGTTGTAACCGGTTAATACGGAGCGTAACTGATTACAGCAAATACATTTTCACTTCTGGATTGAAGAACAAGGCAAATCGTCGAGGGTGTAATCAGTTAACATCTGAGATTAACTGGTTATCGCTGAAGGTATTATAATTGTAGTGTCAGCTGTAACTGATTAATCATTTGGTGTAATCGGTTACAGACCTGAGTTTTGCATTTTTCAGTCATGTACTTGTATGTTTTAGGTCACAATCATTTTGTAACACTTGTATAAATGCTTTAGAGGCATTCTCATCTCATGTTAATGTAATTCTCTCTCTCTCTCTCTCTCTCTCTCTCTCTCTCTCTCTCTCTCTCTCTCTCTCTCTCTAAATGGTGGTTAAGATAACTTTAGATGTGAAAAGAAAAGGTTTGACAAAAGTAAAGAGCAATGCTTTAACTGTCAAAGGTTCGGTTATTTTGCAAAAGAGTGCAATGCGAACAAGAAGGAACTTCAACGAGATGAAGCCAATGTTGCAAGACAAGAGTTTGATAAAGAGAATACACTCTTGACCATGATCATAGAAGGAAATTGCAGCAGCAGTGGCATTTCTGGGAATGTTGCAAAAATAGGCTATAATCAGTTACATGCAGAAGAAAAAGCCATGATGAGTATGAAAGGAGTTCAGTGCAGTGAGAAATGGTATTTGGACTTGGGTTGTTCTACTCATATGATAGGGAGGAAGGATTGGTTTGTTAAATTCAATCGTGCAATGAAGGGGTGAAGGACACTACTCTCCGATGGGATCGATGATGTTTTGATCATGAGAAGAGGTGAAGGACATTCCTTGATAAAAGATACTTTTTGTACATTACAAGAATCAAATGTAACCTTTTAAGTATTGGTCAATTGCTTGACAAGGGTTACAAGATTCACATGGAAAACAATGGGTTGCGCGTTATGGATGCAAACAGGGTTTTGGTCCTTAAAGCTTCTATTGCTGCCAATAGAACCTTCAAGGTTGAGCTAAAAGTAATGGAGCATAGATGTCTTACTACAACAACATCTCGAGAAGATTGGATATGTCGCTATCATCATGGGCATCTCAATTTCTGAGATCTCAAACACTTGCAAAAGAACAGAATGGTAGCGGGGTTGTCATTGATCAACATACTGACTGAAATTTGTGAAGAATGTACGCAAGAAAAGCAAAATAAGGGTAAATTTCGCAAGGATGCAGGTTGTAGAACCAAGAATCACCCTGAGGCGGTCTATTCAGATGTCTGTGGACCGATGCAAGTAGTTTCTATTTGTGGCAATATATACTTTGTCACATTCATTGACGATCATAATAGAAAGTTATGGACATACTTAATCAAAAGAAAGGATGAAGAATTTGAAGTGTTTAAGAAGTTTAAGTCCATGATTGAGAGGTAAAGCGATCACAAACTCAAAATGCTCAAAACAGATGGTAGAGGCGAATATGTCTCAAAAAGACTTTGAGAGGTTTTGTGATCAAGAAGAGATTGTACATGAAGTAGTACTACCTTATACACCGCAGCAAAACAGTGTTGCCAAAAAGGAAGAATTGATCGATCATGAACATGGTGAGAAGCATGTTAAAGGGGAAGAACTTGCCGAAAAAGTAAAAGCTACAACTCTTAAGTAAAAGCTAATTTGGGGAGAACGAAAAAGAAGTATGGTAGGTTGCTACAACTCTTGAAGAATCAAGCAAGCATTGAGAAAAAAATTTGTTATGTGAATATGATTATAAAAAAAGAAAAAAAAAAAGAGAATGCTTGCTTGGAAAAAAAAAAGTTGTGAACTAAGAGTTGGGAAGGTTTTCAAATGAGAAAAAAGGGGAAGGAAGTTGTGATGTGTAAATAACTTTTGCAGTGAATGCCTCTTTTGCATCAGCAATTTCGTTTCAATAGCCTAAGATATGTCCCTTGTTTGTAAACCCGACCAAGCTACAATCGAAAAAGACCTTAGTGATCTTCTTGCTTCCATATTTTCATCTATAATTGTTATATATTGTATGAATTGGATTGATTTTGGCATTGTTTGTTAGTTGAGTGAAATTGTCCCCGTGGTTGTAAACGCTTCAATCCTTATTCGAAGAGGAGAGATAGGTTGATTCATTCAAGATAACATTGTTGTTGATTGATATATATTTTGCATTGCTTTAAGACTTTAGTTCTTGTGTGTTGTTTGATTCTAACCATTGGGAACTTGTGTTTGGTTGCATTCCTTGTGTTTGAGCCATTTAATCCAATTTCGGAGAAATTTTTTTCTTGAGCAAATCCTCTTGTTTCATCAAGATGCACGCTTTGCTTGAGGGCAAGCAAGAATCTAGTTGAGGAGAGTTGTTAGACGCCCAACTTTGCTTATTTGATATATCAAATATGGGCATATTTCACTCCTTTTTGTAAAGAAAGTGTTAGAAATCACTCTTGCTTTGGTTGGTTTGCAACATATTGTGAAAATATCTTGGTTCGTTTGATTTGTGTGTTATGGTGCAGGAATTAGGCATAAAAAAGTGAACATTAAGACACAAGAAAGAGGACAAAGAAACCAAGACAGCATGCAAACAACAGCAAGTTCGATGGGCGAACTTGCTAGCGAAGCTGCCACCAAAACTTCACCAAGTTCGCTAAGCGAACTATGTAGCGAAGGCCAGGAATCCAAAATAGTAAGGAAAGGGGCATAAACTCGCTAGGCGAAGGAGGCAGCAAAGAGCTCGCTAGGTGAAGAGGTAGCGAACACTCCTAGACTTGAGACAGTAAGGAAAGGGCCATAAACTCGTTGTGTGAAGTTTGCAGCGAAGGCTTCGCTAGGTGAACATTTCTTTGCATAGCGAACATTGGGATTTCTGTCTGGGGAGCTTTCACAGGACATGGAACTTCAGGTGCCATTTTGGGTGTTCGCTAGGCGAACAATTTGTTCGCACTGCGAACGTGACAGCTCAGCAGCCACTTCTATAAGTAGTATGAGCTATTTTTTGTAAAAATATCTAATTTTTTGTACTTGCATTATAGAGGATTTTCAGACCTAGAAAACTCATTCCTCTATTTCTCATCACCTCTTAGCAATATTTCACAAAAAGAATGTGGATTTCCATCCAATCTCGATTATTCGACTCAGATGTTGATTAACCTTCTTCCAAAACGTGTTGCTCAAGCTATCATGGAAATGGTTGGCTAAATTCCTCTCTTATCAATGTTAGAAGTTGTTAGTTCATATTTTATGTATTCCATTTGATCTTTTTTATGTGAACAAATGTTGTGATCAATATAGATGAAGTTATTTGCTACTCTTTGTACATTTAGGGTTTGGATTGCTTTAGACATGAACTTTCCAAGTCTTGACCTAATATCTTCATCTATCGACTATACAAATTCTAGAAATAGGTTTGAAAGTTGATATCCGCTTTGTATTGATCTTAATGCTTATTGTTTCGATTGTTACTTAGAGAGATCATTTATCGGTCGAAACAATAACATTCACGAAATCGCTTTAGAAATGAACGTTTTTGCGAGGATACGCGGTTATGTTGGTTAAAACTTCGTTCACATATTTGATCGGTTGAGTACATTTAGGACGGACTAGCGAACCCTAATCTTGACATATTTTTATCAAACTTAGACCAAATTTTATTCAGCTCTAATTCTTGCAAACTTTAGTTATGAAAATTGAAACCATTCTAAAAATCCCCTTTCTTAATACATTAAACTGTTGAACGACAAGCATCTATATTCTCATAAATCCATGTGGAGATGATAAAACACTACCCCAAAATACTTTCTAACAAAAAGCAATATCCACAACTTCCTATTTGTTGAATATGTGTCCAACAAAGAAGCTTGAGAAGGTAACACCGGAGGAAGCATGGTCAGGATTTAAACCGAGTTTAAACCATTTAAGGGTTTTTGATTTCGTAGAGTATTAACATGTTCCAAGACATCTTAGAAAGAAGCTAGATGATAAGGGAGAAGTGATGATACTTGTAGGGTATCACTCTATCGGTGGTTACAAGTTATTTCATACAACAATGAGAAAGGTTATGATCATTCGAGACGTCATTGTCGACGAAATCAAGGAGCTGCAGTAGCCTGTAATCGATTACGTAAAAGCTGTAACCGGTTACAACTTTAAAAATTCATGCTCTGCAGAAACGAAAAGTGTAGAAACTCCCGTTGCCGAAACCCGAATTGAAGACAATGTCAGATCAACAATGCAAAGAGGTTTGCTTCAAAAACTCCCATGTTGTGAGTTGTTCTGAGACAACGAAGTCAATGTTGATGGTGATTTTGTCCATTTTGCACCTATTGCCGAATCTGAATTTGCTAAAACGGAAGAGACTTTAAGTGATCCAAAGTGGCTTGTG